CTTCTGGATGAGCAATCAGGTGGAGAGTCAAGGGCAAGGCCACTCAGCGGCCCCATCTGATCTCTTCTCACTTGTTCGGTCTGGGATCGCCTCGACCACTACTCTACTCTACTCACGGCTTCTTCGGATAGAGATAGAAAATCTTCTGATGCGCCCCCCGTAGCTCCAATTCGCTCCAGACGGCTAGTGTGGGATTGATGGCCAGACCTCCGGCATGCACAGCTGACAATTCGAGAAATCAATCACGACAGCAGTGGAGGGAGAAATCTTCATGTTCTAGAGCCGGGGGGTTTTTTTTGGGCTGACTCGTCGCAAGACTCTTAGGCGGGACGCCGTTGAAGAAGCGTGACGTGACGGCTCAGGAACCAGAAACAGAGGTCTTAACGCTAGCTCTCCTACACTAAGACGGGCCCCACGAACAAGGTTCACGGACGTTGAGCCAGGGCAAGAGAGCCCATCAGTTGAAGCAGGACCATTCAGAATTGCTTGCAGGCTGACAATCATCAAGCAATGGATCTGGGCGAGTTGGATCGTCCGCAGGACGCTATGCCATTTTCCAATTTCCCATTCCAAGTTTTCCAAGCTTCGTCCATCGAGTTTTCCTATCTCGTCCAGCGCTCCCGCAATTAAGGCCGGCACAAGTTGGAACCAAAACCGCTTTTCTGGACGGCTTCGCCTCCTCCTTTGCCATCCCTGGCTAGCCGCTCCGGCCCTGCTGGAGAGGACCTACCTGGGTGCTTTTTCGGCCCAATGTTGTCAATGTTGCGTGTGCAGGCGGGCCAAAAGTTTAAGCTGCCGCGTCTGCACAGGAAAACAGCTCCCTCTCGCCCTCCAGCGCTGTTCCTGGACCAGCTGGGCTCGCCGGCGTGGCAGGCTCGGCTTCAGGGCGTTGCTTATCACTAGGCCGGTCGCCAGTGGGGAGGAACCCACACCGTCCTCGGCAGACCCATCGCTACAGGATCGTTCCTAGTCAGTGGCTTCGACAGAGCATGGAAGGTCCCTGCTATAACTGTTCGTCTTCCAGACCGTCCGGACACGGTCCAAAGTCAAGCAGCTGAAGAGACGACAGCTCGTGGGAGGTAGCCGGTACTCATTGACGAACCGAGATCAGTCATAGAAGAAGCACGGAGCACTCGTATATGCTACCCAGCGGCGCTGCTGGTGTTGGTTCCTGGATGATAACGTGGTTGAATGGATAAAAGGGTCTCATCCGAGAGGTAGCCAATGGAAAGAAGCAAGTGTGCGGACGGGGGGTGGCATGGTAATTACACCAGCCATGCCTTGCGTGTGGACGAGAGCTTGATTTCTTTTTCCAGTACCTCTTCCCAATGTCGCATGCACCTCAGAGGGGGGGGGAGGCCAGCTCGCATTTCGGTCTCGCTCGTGTTATGTAAGGCGCTGCAAGAGAGAGCTAACGCGCATCTGGTTGCACTTTAATTCCTTAGATGGCATTGCGCTCAGCAGGCCCGGACTCAAATTGTCTCTCTTCTGCCGCCAAACGTTGAAAGTCAAATATTTTAGCGAGGACAGGTTTTTCCCGCCGGATTGACTTTCGGAGCGGCGCCGCCTGAGCGGGTTGGGCTTTTCCAACAGGTGCTAACGGCGCACCGCGAGCCAGCTTCTGAGACATCTCTGCACCACCTTTGCTCCCCTGATGTGGATGGATGGTCACGTCCTGTATCATGGGAGGTTCGGTGACGGTTGGGTCCCTGGATCGTGTCTCTCAGTGGATGGTCCCTCGCGCGTCGACTTCGTTCGTCGACGGGGCCCCACGTATCAAGCCCAGCCTGCATGTGAATTGAGGAGATATATGGAGATGGAATTCAATGGCCCACTGAGTTAGCACTCGTAGGTACTGCGCGGTGGAAACGACGAGATCGCGTTAGCAGTTTTTATTGCTGATCTGCCGCGTAGCAGCATCTCGCTTCCCAGATGCAGGACCGGATGGCCAAGAAGTGCAAGAATAGAATGCCAGAGAGCTACCTAGGTAGCGAGGTACTAAACGGACTGCCCTGCATCTGCCCTGTCCATCATGTACACCGCAATCCATGGATCCCCTAGACGGTGGCAAACCCCACAAATGGCCTATCATTATCAATGGAAGACACGCCGTGAACAGGGCAGGGGATCAGACAGAGGAGGACATTCATCCTGGATATTTGTGCCACTCTGAGCACATGTGCAGGAGGCATGAGTGACTTGAGTATATTGAGAAAGCCTTTTCATCTGAATAGGACAGCGGTGAGAGCGAGGCTTCTGGGCATTTGAATTACTGGGATACCGATAACACACGGGTGTCAGGTATCATATCATATCATCTGGGCTAGATACCCAGCTGGCCCCGTTATCACGTGGAGAGGTTGCGCGTCTCTTGGGGTCTTGGGCACGCCGAAAGTGTCGCGTACGTACAAGTATAATTGCGTTGTTTCTGACTGAATATCTGAGCACAAGCAAGTGAAGTGTCTGATGTCAGTTCACTCAAAGCTGCCCTGGATCTCCATATTGCCTTTCCATTTCCAACC